CTATTTTCAGCTTTGCCCGGCTGTAAAAGTATAAAAAATAGATTTAGATGAAAGATTTGGGGGTTATAAAATGATATAAAGAACATGTAAAGTCTCCTGAAAATATGAAATGGAAATATTGACAAATAAGTTTAAATCCTTTCTAACACAACTATTTATTTATCGTTAATTAAATATCAATAGCACTATTACTTCAAATAAAAGTTCAAAATGGCGGCACACTTTTCGCACCACTCAAAATTAGTAAACATCCGGGGAATTTCGCATAGCTAGTACTACACCTAAAATTATAAAGGTCAGAGATATAATAGGGATGTTACAATATCCGGTGACATGCCCCTTTTATTAAGTTAAAAAACTGTTTCGACTTTTTTCTGACATTTTTTCTACATACCTTAAGGTGCACTTTAACATATTAATTGAATACTTCTCTGTAAAAGTTATAGTTTTTGATTGACCAATAAAAATGGCTTCCAGGAATGAAATTACGCTTTCCCACGTGGAGTAGAAGGTTACTTTTTATTAGACTTAAAGGTTCGATTTCCCTTGTGTATAGTTTAAAAAGCATTCCCACGCCTTTTGGCTCTCCAGTATTGTAGAGCATTTTTCTGGCTAAATTTCAGTGCTTTACTTTTCACATAATACTGTGCACTTTGGATGCTATTAATTTTTAATATTTAGCAGTTGAATCTAATGCAGGAGGCCATTGTTAACCATTGTAATTTTAGCCATCCTGTTTACATGCCAAGATAATAGTGATTGGTCATGTGACATCAAATAATTTTCTGATAGGTTGAATTATTATAGCAGTTAAAAAAAAATAGACTGAAATGATGTCAAAATGGCTGACATTGATTTATTTCTGCAGTTATGCATTTTGAAATAGATGTAGATTTAGATCTAATGAGTATATAATATGCAGCTTAGTGTTCAGATATTTTAATAACAATAAACTTTCATTTGAAACATGTTTTTGGACTAGTTGATTAATATATAAGAAATGGCAAGCATATTTATTCAACACATTCAAATCTTCTCACATAGTGCCCATTGGTTGCTATGATAATAAGCACACATAGAAAATTTTTCTTTCAACCAGGAATCATACATACATAATTCATATAAATTTAGAAGGCTCTTTCAAATCTACATGTCTAAAACAATAAATAATTTTTCTGAAAAAAATTGTAACATCCCTAGATATAAGAAGTCATCTTGGCTAAGGCCTTCAATCTAATCTAGATCTAAGTTCTAATTTTAGAATATTTATTTAGACATCATGATGTAAAATTCCTTCCTCTTACTAAAGTTAATGGTAACAAATATTTTTTGCTCTTTTGTGTTACTGTATTGTTGTCATAACAATTCCAGTGTCAAAAGGAGCATACATTAAATAGTAGACACCAACTTGTTGTGTTGAATGGATGCAACAAAGAAAATTTCATACTGACATTTTATGTTTAATTTTTATTGTTTAGATTATTTAAATGTGGCATTTGCCTTTGATTTTTAATGCTTTTATTTTTTCTAATAGAGATGATCAATGAAGAAAGCTGATGCTCAAGTGATCTTGATGCTGGAAATTATAATGGGTGAGATTTTTACTACCCTCATATACTCTAATAGTGTCCTTTACTTGTCAATGATGAGATTTGACTTGAACTCTCTCTCTGAAATTTTTTTGAGGTCAAAATTCTACTGAGACACCTTTCATCTAAATCGAAGAACTAACAGTTTTATTAAAATTTGTAATAAACCTAATCAATCCTATTGCGGCTGAAAAGATCCACTCCACATCTGGTCAACAAACTGCTATTTGGCAACATATTGCCAGTGAGAATTTAATCTCGTTAGATGTTAAGAGATTCCTAGTAAGAAGTTTACTATAAATATATTTCGAAAAAACTGTCTAAGGGAATAAATTCTCGGCACTGGGTTGTCATGATTAGTATGTTTTAGATGAAGGTAATGAATTAAATAATTGAAAATACCTTCATATACCTCGGCAGTAGGAAATGTTGATGAAAACAGTTTAGACTAGTGACTAGATCTAGATGTGATATACCTTACTGTATTTAAAGATTTTTTTTTTTAAATTTTGAGAACTTTAGTGGCTTTTACCCTTTTGTTGGGAGTGGTGGTCCAGTATTAAGCTAATAAAGACGACCAATAGCTTTCTCCACATAAGTGCCTGTTTTTAATTGGGTGGACTCAAGTGATGTCCTGTAGACACATCAGTTCAGAAAGTCGTTTATGGGGATTAGTCATCATCAGTATACCCAGACAAGCCTACAGTCCTGTGGGACCGTCCAGCAAAAGCATAAAAAAAGCTCATGTTCCGCATTCACGATTTTTTGTTCCGCCAAGTCTGAATTCCGACACAAAAAAAAAATCGCAGATTTTTCATTATTTGTTAATAGTGCGAAATGAAAATACTGAATGCAAAATAAAATATATATATAGATCTGTGTTTATTTACATTTCATCTTCTGCTGGACATGGTGTGTCCTAAGAGTCTAGACCTAAATGTAATTAACGTAGACACTGTAAGGCTAATCCTAAATAAGGCTATATATAGTATATATATCTACTTGTATTACTAAATTAGTTTCTAGGTCTAGCACTAGATAATCATAATACTAGATCTATCTAGAAATACTAAATAGACTTAGGAGGTGATAGATCTAGATTTCTATGTATCATTATGTAATAAATTTAGTTCTCAATAAGTCCATAGATCTAGTCATAAATAGATAATAATTATTATAATCTTGTAGACTTAGAAGACTTATTACATGTAGGTCTAAACTAGTATACTATTTTAGATCTACAACTAGTTGAACTAGAGACATCTAGAGTAGAGCCCTAGAAAAGGATAGATGATCAAGTAGATCTAGAATAATCTCGATCTAGTCATTAGATCTAGATCTAGTAACAAATAAAAAATAGATAGTAACATTTGAGTCTTGGTCATTAGAATACATTTTGTTTTAGAATTCATCATATATAGGAGTCAGTTAACTATTGATTTCAAACAAAGGACATAATTATGAATTAAAGGCATTCTTACTTTTAATTATACTATTTATAAGTAGCAAACTAGTATTGTTATTAAAGTAATATAATTGAAGTTTTATTTATTGCGTACAGTATGGCTGACAAACCTAAACGCATTTATGTTCCACATTGGGGCCCAAAATTCCACATTTTCAACATGAGTGTTCCACATTCTGGGTCTTAGGGGTAGGCTTGTCTTCTATACCCCCTGTCCTTGTAAGCTTAGCTAAGAGTTGCTTTTTTTACTGTTTTTGAGAAGCGTGGTTGAGAGGCTAAATACGTTTCAACTTGGCTTGGCTACCTATGAAGGGGGCTTGAGGTTTGACACCAGACTGAGCGCCTAAAGGCAGCACGGAAAACCTACTCCCAGATACGCCCTCTTCCCCCTCTGGTCCGCAAATGAGATTTGACCATAGTGCTCTGAGCATGCTATAAAAAGCTATAATTTATTGAACCTACATTTGTATTGCTTGAATTTTTAAACTTGCAAATGCTTTCACATGATGATCTTTGTGATAGATAGGGAGATATGACAACAATGTATGATTTTGTCATCCAATTCTGAAAAGTGTTTGCTGTTTATTGTTAGTCCTTAATTATGGATACATTTAACGTGTAAGGTAAATCTTTTTTTTCTTCAAACAGATGGCTACAAGCTTAAACATTTACAAGGTAAGTATTTCATTACTTAATCTTTACTGTTCAAGGGTTTCTTGATGATGAAGTCATAGATAGGGACAATTGAAAAGCAGTGAAAAGTTATCTTATCTGAAAGAAATCTCTAAATCTTTTTTGACCATTTTAAACAGTTTTGTATTCTGCATCTTTAATTTTTCTCATTGCATGCTGGTACAATCTTAGCCTCACCCCACCCCAAACATAAGCACTATCTGAAGTTCTGTGCAGCTAACATCTGGATTTGAACTGTGTCCCTCTTGATAGGTAGACAGGTGATTTATTACCGGCTAGTTAGGGTCTAGACACTGTTACTAGCGTCACTGTTGTGACTTATGATCATAGTTCATGCTTCATTCATGTTTATTATAATAAACTAAAATAGTAAGACAATTTGTAGAGAACATGCTCATATGACTCTTATTATATCCTTGACTTTAAAGAATTAATGGAAAAAAATTTCTAGTGTACCTTAAAGTAAAAATCTTTATTGGTGTATTGCTAATTTTTTTTATGGACTGATCTGTGATGATATAAACAATGGGAATCTCTCTGAATATTCTGATGTGTTGTTAATACTGAAAAGTCAGTCCTAAGTCATTTCCCCTTCTCCATATTAAATTGTCAACTAGTAAATTTAATCATTTTGTTTTCAGTGCTACACATGAAAGTTTTTACACAAGGCCTATAATCTATTTGTAAATGTAAGTAACTTGAATTTGTCTGCCTGCTGATTCTCATGGTAGATTTGTGATGAATATGTGATTCTACCAAATGATTACTATGAATTATACTCGCTGTTCCCTTTTTTTTATCTGATGAATCTACCTGTAATTATTTTTCTATTGTACATTTTAATTTTACAAATATTTTGTTAATGATGTATTCTTCTATTGCAGCTAGACAAGGCCATTCATAGTGACATGATAGTATCCTGAATATTTCTATAGGCTTGTTGGTAAGTTTATATCTTCTACTCAGACTGACTCAGTGATGAAACAGATGACGAGTCTGCTTCCTTATTGTTCTTAAGATCTTTCAGTTTTTGAAAGATTTTTTTAGATACAATGGGATATTTGATGACATTTGAGGCATTTGTCTGAGAGTTTTAATTTGGTCTATATTCTGGAACTCATTAGATGTCTTTGTATTTTAAAATTTATTTATTTTTTTTTTTTTTTTAGAATTTTATAAAATCTTAAAAATGTTTGCAGTTATACTGATACCTTTTTACTTTTTTTTTTCTCTAGATAAGCTATTGTGGATGCATTTTTAATGAGCAGTTCATTAATGTAAGTACTGTTCTCACTATTTAAAATAAGTTTGATCTATGCCATACCTGATGATTTATTTTAGTCCCATAAAACATTTTGATGACACTATTTCGCTCCTATCTGATGTGGCATCTATATTTGTTTTTTGTTCAGCAGGCCCCGTAACTATATCTAATCTGTAACGTATTTCTTTTCAGTTTACACTATGGAACAAGAGTTGACATATTAAAGGGCAAGTCTTAGATAAAATTTTAAATAAATTACAAATCTAAGTGGTGATGAATGCAAATGCTGAAACCATGTGATGACAGCAAATGCCCCCGTCTGAAACTTAGTTTGCTTGATAAATGTGATTTAAATCAGTTGTTCAAATGCTGAATTCTAAGTAACATATTTAGAAACTTACAAACTTGTGAGCTTTGAGTTATTTTAATTAATTTGGTATCAGCTGCATTTTAGAATGAATTTTGTGATTTTTTTTTTCTAGCCTACAAAAAAATGCAAGCAACATGTTAAGGCTTTAATAGGATTTTAATGGGAATGTTGTTTCTGCTGTTAAGTAAGGAAATAATTATAGGGGAAAGTGATTTAAAGCCAGTTGAGACAGATAGTAAAGTGAAGAAACAATACCGGGTATTGATTGTTACATCTAGTCTTAACTGGAGGTTTGCAACTAAATTGATGATTTTGAGCTTTATAGACCTACCTGGTATTTATGACTTGAAACATGTTGCTAATCCATAGGTCTTTTTATTTTATTTTCTTAAAATACCGTTAATTTATAGTTACTAGCTTCTCTTTGGGATGGGGAGCAGTTTCTAACAACTGATTAGTGGATGGGATATAACATTTCTAGATTGTTTTTTTTCCCCCATACTGACTTCATTCCCTTCACACCATTTTGTAGTGTGTCTATGATGAAACAGTAACTCTCTCTTCCTGAATTATAAAATGTTGAAAATATTTCTGAGACACATTGATTTACTTTATTTTAAAAAAATATTTCATGTTTTCATTTATGGTTAACAGATGCAGAGCTAATTACAGATTTCAAGATTTCAAAGGTTTTATTTTGGTTGACATAATAAATACCATACCTAATTGAATATTATTGCTGTTTTTTAATTTTTATAATTTTGTCTTGATTCATTGTAAAAAGCATTATTATTATTATATTATTCCTATATAATTAGTCCCGAGAAGTGTCCCCCCCCGCCGGTCAGTAGGGCAAGATGTAAAGGTTATGGTTCTATGGCCTAAGGTTAACGAGGGCGTCATGTGTTTTGCCTCACTGTTGGATACTTGACCTATAGATCCTACTCATCAGGGTTCAAGCCCTGCTTTAACCGGTCAGCCACAACTAGTTGGGTGGGCAAATTGCGACCTGCGAAAATCAGTGTGTCGACACTTTACACATATAAAAATGCAAATATATTAAAATATCTATAGAAATTATTCAAAAGTTTATCACTTATAATGAAGAGTCAAGAAACATTGTCTCTAAAAGTCATTCTAAAAAAGTTTAAAGTACACGATTATTTTTAATGGCAATAATTCGATAAACATGCCAGTATTTATTCCATGCTATAAAGAAATGTGTTGAAGGTGTTGGGTTGGCTTGTACAAGATGGTAAGGTTAACAACTGATGGAAACCGTGCTTTGACTGGGTTAAAACAGGCTTTGTAATAAAGAGCAATATCCATTCCCAACTGTATAAACTCGTTACAGGAAAGTTTACACAAAGCTGCCTTGAATACCATACAAATTATTATAGAATATAGACAATGTTATATATTTGCAAACTATGCATATTCCTGGGGTCGATGATTATCGGGGCCTCGCACAGAAATTTCATTATTTTAGAGAAGAAATAGCGAAACTTGTCCTCAGTGATATTGTTGAAGTACGCTAGGTTTTTAATAAACTGCATAATTTTAGTTCTAATTGTTCTTATTTGGGGCCACCAAATTCACTTCGCTTATCTAAGGTGGCCTTGACTGGCACTCATAAAATTGAGTAATTTTATTTTTTTTTTATTGAAGAGGGGGTTCATCGTAAATTTTAGGGGTTTTAAGATCAAAATCTTCATTAACTGCAATTGGAATTTGGGAATTGTTTGCATTTTTTTGTTTGTTTTATAGAAGAGGGGGATTTAACTGCAAAAACCTCTAGTGAGGCCCCGGAACCAAGCATTATTTCCGTTATTTTAAGCTTAAAAAAAATGCATAGTCTGAGGTATCTACTGTGCAATTAGCCTACAACTCTTCCGCTAAAAAAAAATACACCAAATCTGCTAATCAATACAGTCCAGCAACTGGTAGAAAATGGTAAAATGTTTTAATTTTGTATTGGAGGGGGAAGGTAACCACAAAACCCATTTTGGCTACGCTCATAAAATTTTGGTGACTGTTGTTTGCTTAAGTTGGCTGCACTGGGGCAGTAAGTAAAGTTTCCCTTTCAATGAGGTCTGAGGCAAGTGATGGTTTGAAGACTCTCCCCTTCCTCCTACGCCCATGTTTTATATTATAGGTGTATAGCCTAATTCTCTACAAATTGTGATAACGCTTCGAAATCTGGATGTATGCATTTGTAGGATTACATAATGTATTCTATTTATACATGTATGTAGTCTGGAAACTATAAACGATACAATAGAAGCCAAATGAGTTTGAAGCTTTATTGGTATTACAGACGCCAATCTAGTCATGCATGCTGATCTGTGACTTAAAACCCAGACTCAGGCAACCCATTCCAGTTAAAGATACGAGAAAGCAGAACGGTTAGAGAGACTTAATGTGAAAAGCTCTTCATTCCTCCTAGTTTATTCAAATATAAATCTCCTTTCATTAAATATCGCATGTGACAGCGCTATATAAATTATTGTAATTATTGTAGATCTAATAATTGTCATCATTAATGACTTTATACTAAGCAAAAGTTTGCCATTAATTATAATGTTTGTAAGCGTGAACTTGGCTTGTCTTGGCAACCGACTCAGGCAGAGTTGTGTTTACTGAGCACCTAAAGGCAGCACGGAAACCAACTCCTAGATACCCCCTCCTTCACTGGTCCACAAATGAGATTGGATCAAAGCGCCCTGAGTATGCTGTAAGCATGAAAGTAGTGTTATATGAAAGCTATAATAATAATAATAGTATAAATATTGATTTACATCTAGATTTATTTTTTAAATATTTTTGTTTGTAAGCCTTAACTGTAGTATTGTTAGATCTGTGTTATTAAAAATAAACAAAAAGAAACGTACTTTTTCTTTTCAAATCGCAGAAAGTAGAGCTTTATACCCATATTGACCTGTGAATAAGTTGGGTGGTTTGCAATTTCGCGGCTGTGTGTATGTGTTAATTTCTATTACGTATTGTTAAAGAGCTTTTTTTTTTTTTTTTTTTGCTGCGTTATATCAATGTTTTCTAACTTAACCTCTCTCATCCCTCTTTTTGGTTAAATTTCATTGGAACCATTAAAAGACGGGGGAGGGAAGGAGCAAAGAAAAAAAAACAAATGGGCGTGCAATCAAAGGCCCATGCCGACCAGCAAAATGATGAGGCCAAACACAACCTCGAAGACATCAAAGCAGTCCATGCCGCTCGTGCATAGCAGAAAGTACGGTCTAACGTTTTGCAAATGATAACCCTAACCACGGAGCTCTTCATTCAGTTCCTTCACAAGGAGTTGGTCTAATGTTTTTGTAGTAGCCATAGCAGATCCAATCCGATCCCACTTCTGACACCAGTTGTTACGAATCTCCCTATCCAGGCTCTCTGCAAACTGCACCTTACACCACCAACTTAAAGAACTTGACAACTCTGGGCTTCAAAATAACGTAATAGTTAAATGTCAATAACAGCCAATACTTTATAATTGGCAGCACGTAACACAAGACTGTACAAATATCTCTCCGCCGTATCGACTCTTGCACTGATCTCTCTGTCTCGTCTCGGACTTGCACTGAGCCGTTGTAACGAACTGTAGATCGGGAAGTTGTGACTGACTGGTCTCTGATACCTTCGCTCTTTATATATGGTCCCTGCTGGCCTTCTAGAACCGGACAGAACGTCGCTCGATCATTCTGGGTGGTCAGATGACTACATCCCTCGTGACACTCCTGAGCTCTGTTCACGACGTCGATCCTTCCCGAACCATCATGTTGACACTCGTCTCGGCCGATCGTCGTAACTCGTCACGGTTGACCGCTCGTCTAGCGCTGGCCTGGGGCGATTTTCGTCGGCTGACTACACACACACACCACTACCCCCATCTGTGCCACCACCAGGTTTATAACAATAGGTACAGTCTATTGTGTATTTTTTGTGTGGATATTCTTGTTGAATTTCAAACAAAATTAATTGTAATAAGAATTAAAAAAACAAGAAAACGTGTTCGGGTCTTTATGTCTTGCCGCTGTCACTTTTCATTTTAAGTTGTCTGCATTGAAATTTTTTTTCTTTGGTGGCGACCAGACCGCCCATTTGGTACCGGCCCACCGGGCATTTGCCCGTTTGCCCATATAGCCAGTCCGCCCCTGCCGGTACGTAATGCTGTTGGTGTCATCCAGAAGATTATTTCTTCCATAACAGTCCCAAGAGAGAGAGCGATGCTAAATTTACCTCTTTTCTGTGAGACACAATGGACTGAGAAATACGACTGTTTGGTGTATTTTAAAATAACCACTGTAAGTGCAACCTGACAAACTGCATATGTGTAATCTGTGCCTGCTTGTCATGTGTTTCTTATTTGTCAATTATTCATCTTTTCAAGAACCAGTTTCCGTGATGTTGCAGTCTGTCCATCTTAGCATGAGTCGCCGCTTAACAGCACATCAGTGGTCACATCAATGACATAAATACCAACTTGGCTTGTTGAGGAACACTTTAAGGATGGCATCTCGAGGAAGGCGAGACTGCTGGCAGGCAAACCGGGTATTTAGTTGGTGCTACCGAGAATTTTTAGTCGGCAGACACACCGAGAAAAAAACATGTTTGGATTTCGGGAGTTATTACAGAACACGTGACTTTACATGACGTCACTTTGTTCGTTAGTTTCTTCATTCACGTCTCGCTTTTCAAGCAATAAAAATGCTCAGTTCAACTTGTTTTGTCTACATCCTAAAATGATGCAAGAGCTGCAACATTATGAAGAATATCAGCACTGCCAGATAAGCGTTCATCGCCGGCTTGTCCATCGTGACGAGAAGCAATTCAG